CTAGCTGTCTACCTGGCCCTATTGGAAGGGCCTCCAAACCCCACCACAACCTTCTCCAGTTGCAAGGTGCTACCAGTCCCAGGGCAGGAGCCAGGATAGCCCACTGCAGCATCCTTGCCATGCTGGGGGCTAAAGGTATTTCCCTGACTCTTCCCACTGCCACATGGGTGCCTTGCCCAGCAGGTAGAAGCAGAAAGGAGGGAATTAGATGAGAAGCCTAGCAGCTCTGTGCCAGATTATCCTCTTCATCTCCTAAAATCCCTATGTGAGCAAACCGGTGAAGGTTACACTGGTGAGATCAGCTGGCAGCAGGGAAGCCCTCAATGCCTGCATGCCCCTCCTGGGCACTGGGGAATTACTGGGAATCACCACCCATTGGTTCCCTCTGCAGGTTATTGCTATGAAGCAGGGATCTGCAGCAACAGGTCGGGTGGCTGCAGTTCTATATGGAGTCAGCAACACAGCACCAGCCTGATCAACAGAGACAACGCAGCAGCACCAGGAGGTATTTTACATCTAGGAACATATGTACGCGTATTTGTGACATCCATATGGACCCCCAAGAGAACTGAGCAGGTTGCAGACAGGTTTTAGAGACTCACCCTCATGCAGCAATGCAAAAACCAAAGAGCTACTTGTTATTTCCCTCAACAGAGGGCTGGTGTAGCAAAGAACAGCTTACCTCTGAATGCTTTCTGCCACCGTCTGACAGGATGGTGTTTAAAAGACTTGATTTGCAGAGGCATCTCAAATTCCACAGATGAATCCAAATCTTGCCTGGAAAAGTTGGACCACCTCCAGGCTTTCTTCTTACACAGGAATCAAAAAAGGATATTAGTTTAACTCCATTGGTTTATATCAACACCATAGCCTCCGACTACCCAAAATGGCAGCAAGGAAGGGGAAAGCCAAACAAAACCCCACCCCCCAAAAAAAAACTTCAGAAAAATCTTATCGTCTTCCAAAACACACCCCTACAAATCCTTCTGAACTTCAAAATTGCCTCCTAAGGTGGGGACTTGGTGCTCTTTATATTCACTCCAAACACGAGCATCCATTCCTTCTTCATTTTAACTGCCCTGCCAGAAAGCGTCTTCTCAATGAGATCTTAATTAGGAAAGGTGGGCTGTGGAAGCAGTGCATTGGATCCACCTGGGACAAATGGGGATAAATGTTCTCCCCCTCTGCTTGCACTTCAATGCAGCTTTGGGATTCTCTTCAAAAATCTTCTTTTACTGCTTGCTGCTGTTTTCTGGCTGAGGGGTTCAGAAGTCTAGCTATATGCCTTTATTTCAGCTCCAAGTAATAAAAGCTATGGAAACATCTCTCGTTTCCTCTACAGAGCTAGGATTCAGTAAAGTGGATGAATGGATGGATGGTTAGCTCCCGTATCTTCCTCTGTAGTTCCAGTATGTATTTTGAGGGTGCCCATTTCGTTCCCTAGGTACATAGGCTGTATCTTTAACACATATTTCAGAAGTTAAAGCAACCTCACCCACCTCCGTCCTGCCTAGGGTCTGAGCAGAGCTGGCTCCCACAGCCAGGAGCAGGCTCGTGGTGTGGTAAAACACAGCCCCGTTCCTCCATCCGCCAAAGCTTTTAGTACCTGTAACTGCTTCTGTCAGCTGATTTCAAGACAACAACAAAGCAAGCAATGTAATGATTACAATGATAATCTTCACAAGCACCACCTCCTCGGTCTGTGGAGCCTTTGCTGGTGGGAAATATGCAGCAATAGAATTTTCTGAGAGTCTGGGTTTGTGCTCTCTCCCCCCACCCCCCTCCCCCGAAGTTATATGAAAGTTTTCTATTCATCATGAAGATTTATTGATTGTTCCAGGTCTATGGGATAATTAAATACACAAAGGCTTGGCAGCTGTAGTAAAGAATATTCTTTTAGAAATGCTAAAACATGTTAAATCCAAGGAATCCTACTCTTAGTACTCCAAGGGGGTCATAAATAAGTTCAGTGCAGGGGATATAAATATAGATGACACCATTTAAAAATCATGACTGTAGCTATTGAGTTTATGTCTCACATTTCCCTTAGTTACTGAGATTTGTAACCCCTCCCCCTCACTTCCATTACACTTATTATTTTATGGCTGAATAAAATCATATGTATGTGTCATTCATGGGCTTTTAGACTCATAAGGACTTATGTCCTAGAAGTAAATGGAAATACATCATTCTGCAAGTATCCCCAACTTCTATGGAAGGTCAACTCTTTCCACCCCTCCCCTCCCAATGCTAACTGTCCATCTATGAAACAGGGGGCTATCTGCCCTCCGAGTGAGAGTTTTATTGCTAAAATAAAGTAAAAATTGTTTTAAAACAAAGAACACACATCTTTATAGTAAAACTCAAGTTTGTTTTACAGTTAGAGAAAAGAGTCACATGGTCCCCCAAAAACCCCAAGTTTTATATATATATCTTCTGAAAATATATTTAAAAACATAAAAAACTCTATAGTTAAACATATATTATGTTAATCAGTACACTTAAATATAGCTTAATTATATTTACAATATGACGCAGTTGCTTTTAAATTTTAATGCCAATTTCAGTTTTTCCCAAAAAACCATAAAATTATATAAATATACAATAAATATTTATGTTACACAAGGTGAATAATAGAGAACAAGGCCACAGACATTAACTTACAGTTGCAAGAGTCTTTACTTTAACACAGCACTAGGCCTGCTGACATGCATGATATACCTTTGTCACAAACAGACCACAGCAAGAGTTCCATTAAGTGACTTGAAAGAAAACCACTCCCACCCCTCCTTCCCATCTCTGACTTCACTGAAGCTGCCAAGCCTGGGCTCATGGATGCATTAGGTCAGGCAGGTGAGAGCCGTGGGACTGCAGTTTAATTGCCAGTTCCGCACTGTATCGATAGGCATAGAATTGGTGGAGTATGAGGAACATCACTCCAGATGTGGTACAGGACACAGCTCTTCCGCAGGTTCTCAGCTCCATCCTTTAGGGCCCCCCTCACCTGCACAGGCTGCCCTTTACCCCCCTGAACCTACCACCCCACACCAGCACCACCCTGACCTATGTTGAGTGAGGATTGCTGAATTAAGGATATAGCCATAATTAACTTTGGGAACGAGGACCTCTATTTCTAGCATGATTTATGCATTAACACTTCTCTTTCAGAAATTCAATTTCTCGGAGCTGGGAATTGTTTTATTCCTGTATCTGAATTAGATTACTGTCATATCCTAGTTATCATTTCTTTTTCCATTCTAGATGAGTGATCCATTTGTTACTCACTCATTAGCATCACCCTTTCCCCCTCCTAAGCAATCAACCCTGGTTTTGAGGGGAGCCACCGTTACACCATCTCTCTGCTGTAGTTTAGGAATATTGCTGAGAATAGCTCCTGAGCCACGTTTGGATTGTTAAATGCCAAGAATTATAATACACACAGATATTGGCCGGAGAGGAATGAAATTCTCCAGTATACCAACATTTAATTTGCACAAGAAGAATTCAGTTGAAGTTTCGAGACATTTCATTAAGTTTTTGGTTTTTTATTTCTCATTTCTGATGTCTATGTGGGAACCTGAATATATGCAATTGATTGGGAAGGCTGAAGCTTGAAGTTCAGGTGGGACGCACAATTCCCTCTTCTCAATCACAACCCAGCGTGTTACGTGGCCAGTGCAAAAAGTTTTCACTGCGCAGTTGGGCTGCTTCTCCTTTGACCACCAGTTATCCCAGGGAAGGAGAAGCCATTCTAGCCTAAGTAGAAGAAATCACTGATTTTGAAGTGTTAGCCACTGTTAGCTTCCAGCATGGGCTTCTACTAGAAAGGACATAAAGTCAACGTTAAATATGCTCTTCGGAGAGAATTATTGTGGGGGAGCATATTCCAAACAAGCTTTGCTGGGTTCAGGTGTTTAATTAACTCAAACAGTAAGGCAGACTAATGCAGATTCTGCAGCATTCAGTAGTAGTGATATTTCGCAGTACTTCCCTCTTTGTTCAGCTACTTTTCTTCATCTACAGGAATTACAAATATAGCATCTGCTTCCAGTGAGCTCACCAACAAGTTATTTCTGTTTCTCTGCCCACTGCAGTCAGTGCAAGTGCTGTGCACAGCTCCCAGGCTTCCAGCCTGCCTTTTTAGACACACTTCAGGATAGTTAGAGGGGCAGTGCCTAGTTAATAATCTATCAGAACCTCCACAACGTTAAGCCAACTCCTCCAGCACTTGCTCCTCATGTACTTCATGAGTATTTTTCTTTTTTATGCCACTATTTGTTTCATAAAATAAGGCTGACAGCAGAGGTTGAGCCACACAAACTCCAATTGCTTCATCTGGATGCAAGGCTTCTTTCTGCCTCATTCCCTAGCTATCTACCAGGCAGAGGTGCCACTGCAGCTTCACACTGCACTTTTGAGGGCCTGGGGCTGCTGGAAATGCCCTGAAGGGTAAAGGCATCAGTAGGCAAGGCAAGCTCTCCCTCTCACAGGGTGCACAGGACCACGTTCGGTGCTGACTACTCAGTCAACCCAAAACACTGCTCTCTGCCCCTGAACTCGCTGAGCTACTTAGTCCCATGACCAACCTGACTGCAGATCCACCATCACCTTTCTAGACCCTCCTTCTAGTGCCATTCTTGTTGTGCTTCACCAAGACATTTGATCCCAGCACAGACTCTTTTATTACATGAAGGTCATTGCTTTCAACACTCTACTAAAGTATTTTCTATATGACAAGCTCCAGTCATACGGTAAGTGAAATACTTTAAAGATCACAACCAACATCCTTCCAGAGGGACGAAAGGGAAAAGAGAAACAAAAATCAAACACAAACAAACATGGTATAAGCAAATGCAGGTCTCAAAAGACAGCAAATAAAAAATAAAAATAATTAAAGAAGAAAATAACCCAAAAAAGCATGTTGCCATATAGTTAATTAAGTGCTGTCTTTAAGCTTTTACAATGTGAAGTGGAACAGTGGAACATCACCATTCTTTTTCAGTTGCCTCTTTTTTTTATTCTTTTTTGTCAGTAGTTGGATTGCTATTGCAAACACCTTCACAACATACAAAAAAACAAATTGGGTTTTAATCCAGGATAAGGTAATGATGTTGGTTTTTTCCTTTTTCAATCTGCTGGGAGTTCAAAAGTAAAAGAGAAACAGTAAAACTATGACAACAGCACCTTGACATTGTTTAATTCCAACGCTATCAGGAGTTAAAAGCAGTAAACAGATATAATACTAACAGGAATAAAGATACTCACTGTCTAAAATGTAAACGGAATGTTTTGGTTCAATTTATTTTTCGGAAAGAGGACAGTTTATCATCAATCCACAATTGAAGCAGCATGCAATTTTATTCTTTTTTTTTTTTTTAAATCTTTTTCTATTTTCAATTCTTGGCAACGGCAACAAACCACAATGTCATCAAGGAATGTAATGCAGACTTCGCTGTTTGCTCGGGTCTCTTTTTTTTTTTCCTTTTTTGGTTTTTTTTTTTGTATTTTTTTTTTTTTTAAACCTTGTGCGCAAATGACTTTTGTTCCCCTTCAGGTCATGGATATGTTCAATAAATAGATTGTGGAACTACTGTACTGTATAAACTTCAGTTATACATGCAGTCCATAAAATTATTTTTTTTACCGAATAATTTACCCTGTTATGTATATATACAAATAGATAATTTTGTCTCAATATAATCTATACAACACAAACCCACTATCTTCCCCGTTTAATGGTTAATGTACATACACAGGAAGTGTCTATCCTTATAAAGCGCCAGCCGACTCTCTTTTTATTATCCATGGTGAGAGCTCTCACGTAAGACTGGGTAGTTCGGCACTGGGAGTTCCAGTGCCTCTTGTCTATGCCCCTGCAGCCCTCCTTTGTGTACCCCTTGGGGTTGCATTTGGTCTCGTAGAAGTATTGCTTCAGTTGGCCTTTGGGTACTGGGACTTTCTCCAGGACGGTGACAGTCGCCCCGGACATGTCCACTGCAGTCTTTTTCTCCGCTGCTGTCACCCACTCGCTCGTGCTGTCGCAGACGCTCAGTTCCCCACGGCGAGCTGGGTCAGAGTGGCGCCGGACCCTCATGGACATGTTTGCAGCATCCAAGTAGTTTTTGTACTCCTCAAGCAGAAAGAGCAGTGGGGGTTCCAAAGGCACTTGACTGCTTAGCATGACTCGGGATGTGTACAAGTCTGCATCCTTGTTTTCCTCGCTGGGCTGGATGTCCTGTTCCTCATCTAGAAGCTCCTCTATGACATGTTCAAAAGTGTCCGCCAGTGATGTCAGTCCTCTTGAACCAGCATTGGGCCCATTTAGGCTCTCGAGAGTCCCGTGGGTCCGAAGACCTGGGTAAGCCAAGCTGCCTTGTCCTCTTACACTAGCTTCTTTCATTGGGGCAGCTTTCATGCAACTGAAGTATGAGATAACCATAGTAAGGAAAAGGATGGTCATCACTCTTCTCACTTGGTGGAACTGTTAAGGACAAGAACAAGGAAAAAACAAATTAATTTACAAGGGATGGAGTAATAATAAAATTCATCTGAGTTGTCATGAGACATTATGCATTTTCTGCAGAGATCTGCTGCATGCGGCCGCAGCTCATTACCCCGATAAAACATACTCTTGTACAAGAGCATTCTTTTGATTCAGACTTTCAGAGAAAGCATATGCCAAAGCTTGCGCAACACTGATGCCACCAAGTCAGAGTTCTTACATGCCAAATTCTTCCTGTAGTAAGTATTAAACACTATGCAACCTCCTTATTTATTGACTGATTACACCTATTTAAAGTAACAGCAAAGACACAACTGCTGTTGAGCAATGCAACGTTTCAGCAATAAAAGGCAGCTTCACAAACTTGCACTTCAAGTGGAAATACTTGATTTTTAAGATCTCTCTATGTCAAAATATTTTGTCATTTTATTCACAATCCCCTCCCCATCCCCCCCAAAGAGCACCAGGATAAATTGCATTTGTATTTTGAAAGCAATCTTCAAAACACAAGAAGCCACCACCACACAATTCTGAGGTCTCAGCAGGTCAGTTCCTCAACTAAAAGTAGAAGGTATGTATGCATAAATATACAACAAGAAAATGGTCCAGCACAGTAGACTAAATTTGAGCAGGACAGCTTGCTCGCATCATGTGAATGCTGTGGAAGGGACCTGGTGGATTACAGGCTGATAAAAGCTACCCTGAAATGACAGCACCAGAACCACTGCACTGTGCTTTGCCAAAGCTCTATAGTGCCTGTTCTCAAGCAAGCAAAGCAGAAATCCAGCAGCACAACCAGCTCTACTGCCACACTCAACAAGCCTGCTTGTTTCTCTCACCCTCTGCCCCAAGTTACGCTTTGAGGCTTATGTGTACGCTTGGCTCTATCTTCATTGAGTGTAGAGGGGTAGCACCAGGGAAGTGCCAGTAAGAAAACTGCTCCTGAGGCTTGGAATCTGCACAACTCACTCTTCTCAGCACTCCCAACAGCTTGGACTTGTAGGACTGCTCCTTCCCAAGCGCTTTGCTAAGTCTCTGTAGACTGTACTTTCCTCAAAGTAGAAATGTTTTCCTCCTCAAGTGCAGAGTACACACTTTGTGTACTATTACAAGAAGCCCCAAACCCTGCAGTGACAGGCAGCTATATTTTGACCTATCCCAAGTGCTACTACAACATCCATCACATTCAATTGCTATTTTTTCTCTTTTCAATCCCTGCTCTCACCACTTCTGCTTGCTAGAAAGCAATGGCATTGTTCACATTTTTGAAGCAGCAGCTAATGCTTGTTTCAGAGCTTTTGAAGTTCATTCGGAAGTACCTCATATTTGGCAACTCTCATTGGAGTAAATGCTATTTCTGTTTGCCAACAGGGTGCTATGTTAAAAGGCTTACTTCATCTCCTGCAAATATGCTGTGGGAAACTAGTACTCTTAAGACGGGAACATGGAAAGACAATCTATCATAAAGCATCCAAAGAAAATTAAATATGTACTGCAAAGGCAGTACCCAAAATGTAGGTCTCAAAGTGTACTTAATGGAGTGGGGAGAGTGGGAAGTGTTTGGGTTTGTGTCCCTGCACCTCTCAGACAAGATTTTGGCTAAGAATCCTCTCTACCCCAGCACAACTCTTTCTTCATCTCTCCATCCTTCTTCCTGTTTAAGTGTTAGTGTGGCATAGATTTATTACGATTAAACAAACCTGACATCTGTGACTCACAGGAACATAGTGTTTGCTCTAACCATGCAGAACACTAATATTTTGCAGATTTTTTTCATCCTTGGATTTTTAAAACATTCTACAGGGAACAATACCAGACTTTTTCCTCAAAGGGGAGGAAGAGAAATACAGAGATGACTTACAACTCAAGGAAGGTGGTTATCAGTCTTCCTTTATCAAACAAGGAGAGACAAGACAAGAGGGAGAAAGGGTAGTTCAGCAAGCATACAAATGCAGAGCCAGTGGAACAGGCAACACAAATAATTCATGTACTCTCAGAATTGTATTATATAAAACTTAAAAGGAAAACCCCCAAACACCCACATCAAACTCTGAGACCACCAGAGCAGCGAACACAACACAGACTATCTGGCTCCTAATCAAGTTCCTGTTATTTTCATTAGAGTAGTGCCCAGAGATCCCAGCCAATATCTTGACTCTGGAGGACAGATTCTGTCTGAGCACGTAGTAGTACCCCAAGGGGCCTTCCAGTGCAAAAGAGAGAAGACATCACACAAGAGGCACCAAGACAAGTGCAGAACAAAGAGAAGCTTGCACCCATCAGCTATATACACTGCTTCGAGGCTGGACATTCGCTTTTCAAGGTAAGTAGGTCAACCTTAAGTTAGGCAGGATCTCTGGACCAGGCCACATCCTTACCTGTTGTCATTGGGCTGTTTACCTCATGGTAGCACTGAACTTGGAGGGATGTGAAATGAACAGAATAGCGGCTGTGCAACTCGATTCACACATGTATTTTCCTCACTAGGAAGAAGACTGAAGAGGCATGTGGAGAAATCTCACCAGTTGACTTCAATAAGACCTCAGCATCCTCTGCCAACGGCTGGCTGGTCACCAGATCCAATGGTACTTTATAGCTCACATTAAATTAATCCTTCCTCAATTAATTTTGCCTTTCATTTAGCAAGGAAACTGCTGTCAAGCCTGATCAATTTACATCTCATGTGGTGACGTAGAACCACCACTGTTATCTGGACTGGCAAGAAACAGTGTACAACTAGGCTCTGAAAACCAGTAACTCCAAGACAGCCATTACCCATGTAACATACTGAAAACACACAAGGAAACGTGTCCCCCTGAAAGCCACCCTTCTTCCTCTGATTTATAACGGTAGAAGAGAATGTCACAGTAAGCTTTAGCAGCACAGACACATGCAATGCTGCTAGCAAGCAAATAAAGCAAACATCTACTTCTTTGCAAATACATCTCTGACTATGCCTAACTGTGTGAGCAGGATGTGAAAAGATTATTCTGTCATCTGAGGAATATACACAGTTCTCGTCTTTGGCAGCAAAATAAGATCAAATTATTTAATAGAAAGAAATAACGTTTTAACACCTAGGAAATCTCTTCATTTTAAAGGCCATAGTAATTTCCAGCATCAGCTGCTTTAAATCTACTAGTTTAACATACTATAGCAGAGCAACATTTAAATCTCACATCATGGGTAGAAACATACCACCTTTCAGCTACTGTTGAACTGACTCATGAATGCATGGTTCATCTCACACTTAGTGAGGTAGGACTAATCTCCCAATGTAGCACCAAAAAGGTCATTGGAAACACTTTGGATGGCAGCTTCCAGTCCTTTCCCTCTGCTCCCCAACTATTGAGCCTTCATTAAATTGCAAAGATTAAAGATACCACCTGCCCTGTTACACTAAGTGCCTTGTAAACCCCAAACACTAACAGATTACGTACACCTTTCTGACCACAAGGCAGTCACCATGTCACCCTGCATGGAAGCGGAACCAAGGTGGGGAACATGGGAGAAAGCTGTATTTTCCTGTCTTCCAGTATCCTACACTCCTGAGCAAAGTATTGCCCCTTTCCATGCTGAGCTTATCCACCATGATGAGGCCTTGCACAGAGATGCCCAGCATTTCTGTGTACACCCATGCCTGATGCTACCCTGGTAGAGTGAGCGGCTACCTCCCATGGTAAAACTCCCTCATCAGCACCAAATGTTGCTTAACTGGAGCAACCTGGCTGATACCACACGTTCTGAGGGCACCAGTATCGCAGAATGCCAGACAGAACAGGGTAGCTATGGCCACTTTCAGTCAGACATGCAGCTAAGGAAAAAAAACATAAACCAAACTCAAACTAAAAACCACTGAATGGCCTCAACCCATAGTCCTATCACGCATTCATGGCCTCCTGTCTCAACTGTAGGAGGTTCAGGTCTACTCCCCACCTTCTAGGGACCACAAATAAATGCTGCAGCCCTTTTGCACTCCTGTTCAGCTACATTGCTGGGCACAAAAGATGCCTTCGGTAGGAGAGGGAATCTTGGTTCAACTGCTGCCCCATAGGCTGTTGTAGATACTGCCTATCTGTATGCACATCACACATACATACTAGCCCCCTTGAGACCTAGCCTTCAACTGCTCTCTCAGGTCACACAACACGTGTCAGATAGATACCACATTTGAGACAGATTTCTGAACATCGCTCATTCTGGAAGCCCAGAATTCTGGGGCCCCCAACACTATGGGGATGTGGATCTGCTTAAGCAAGTCCAGAGGAGTCACAAAAATGATCGAAAGGCTGGAGCAGCTCTGCTCTGGAGACAGGCTGAGAGAGCTGGGCTGGGTCAGCCTGGAGAAGAGGAGGATCTGGAAAACCTTACAGCAGTCTTTCAGTACCTAAAAGGGCCCTACAGGCAATCTAGAGAGGGGCTTTTCACAAGGGCCTGTCATGACAGGACAAGGGGGAATGGCTTTAAACTGACACGGGGAGAGTTAGACATAGTTTAGTGTGTGGTGTACCTGTCCATGGCGGGGGGGAGTGGGGTGGGGTGTGTGGAACTAGATGATCTTAAGATCCTTTCCAACCCAAACCGTTCTATGATTCTACAATTCAGCAGAAGCTCTTCCCTGTGAGGGTGCTGAGGCGCTGGCACAGGGTGCCCAGAGAAGCTGTGGCTGGCCCATCCCCGGCAGGGTTCAAGGCCAGGGTGGGGAACGCCTGGAGCCATCTGCTTTTGTGGACGGGGGCTCCTCCCGCGCAAGCGCGGG